AAACAATGAAATCAATTAGATAAACACATTCATTCATAAAAATCCTAAAATATCCATACATTACATAATAGCCATATAATTACGATTTTAGGATTTAAACCCATAGTACATTGGGTGATCAACCTATGTAGGGGAGAAGGAAAGACATACAAAGAGCAAAATTACAAGAAAAACTGAACAAAGTAAAGGGCCGCAAGACATCCTCAAGAAGATCTCGACTAACCTTATGAGCCACCTACCCGTCTCTCACTCGTGGAATCACCAACTGAGAAGCCTCATGAATATTCACAAACAAACACCAATTCACGACAGAAATAAACGACACCAAATTAATGCGGTATCCCTGGCGTTTTGAAGGTCAGGACTAATCCACGACACAAAGCGTTCTTCTGCTCTTATTCAGCTCAAAGGCTGCCGATCCTCTATCACACCATATATATACAATCAACAACCCTAATCTATCCCATGTCATCAATCATATGCGGGCTAGGGTAAGTCTGCATTACCATGCAAGACTCACGTGGGCTCACTATGGTTCAAGTCCACTAAACATAATGATAGATACAAAATACATGGGCTGCTTAATAATGATCGTCTAACATGAATAGGGGCCAACTTGCGTAAATATTAATAACCAACTTTGATCTTTTGGGAACCAATTTGTTTGGCTGCAAAAATCCGTTTTTCTCTTTGTAGTTGTTGGGATAATTTTAATCGGTGATGTTAATAATCCTGGTTAAGAAACACTGAAATATATTGGGTTGGTAAGAAGAAGAATTTTAAGTCGGACAAAGAAAAACAAAAAATGATCCCAACGAAAAAGAAATTAAGAATTTTATTAGTAGTCTGGATCGGATATAACAATTAATTGCACATAGATTAACAATCACGTTGTTTTAATTTCATTTACACACACTAGCTTATTGATAAACACACATATGAATGTGGTAATGGAGAATTGGGGGGGTTTAGGTGTTTGTGCAATCTGTAGGCTTGAAAGATAGAGTTTGCTTTGGAAGGTCATATCCAATGAGAAAGTTTTGTTGAGCAACGTTTCCATAGATGCTGAGTTGGTCGTTGGCGTAGAAAGCCAAACAAACCACTTTATCGTTGACCTGGATGAAAATGTTGTCGGAAGTGAGCACCACATCGGCTCCCTTGAAATGCGCAGTGACGGGAGGAAGTTTGAGACTGGAGTCTGGCACGTAGCAGAGGCTGAAAAAGCCTTCGGGGTCGCTGGTTTTGGTGCCGCCGCTGACCTGAGTCTCGACGGCATCAGAGAGCTGGGAGAAGAAATCAGTAGGCACAAGGGTCAAAGTCGTCCCTGAATCAATGATAATGTTGCCAGAGCCTCCAATGGAGGAGCCTTGGAAGGCAATCTTTTTGCTCCCAACGCTAACGGCTTCAAGTTGAAGGAAGTAAAATGTGGGTTGGGATGGATCCGAAATCAAGGGGGTGGAAAGGACACCATTTCCTGAAACCACGGCGTTGGTGCCGAAGTTCATCGTACTGGTCGGCTTGGCAGCTGCGTACGGGACCATGCAGTAGGAGAATTTCCCGCCAATGGATGAACCGAGTTGGCTGACAAGGGATGCAGGTCCTCCTCCAAGACCAACGATGCCAGAGCCTTTGGGGCTAAATGTTCCTGCATTGTCATGCCCGCAGCCAATCACAGTTTTCGGAAGGGCCACAGGGTTGCCAGTCTTGGACTCCAAAGTCAGTGTTTCAGCTGCTACATCTCCTTGGGTGTGAGATTGGTCCCCATAACTCACCTGGTACTCGCAAACACTGCCGTCGGAGGAGCAAGAGCTTCCTTCACTCTGGAGCGAATTACAAGCGTTGGATGAACATGACACTGTTCTATAACTACTCGACGACTTGGGGTCAAATAAGGGCGCCACCTGCTTGTAGCAATCGGTGCAAGGCTTACATTGTGTCCATATAATGTCGCTGCCAGTGTCAGCAATCGCAACGATCGGAAATGGTGGCGTACCAAGGGAGATGTTCACCAGGTATTCCCCATTGTTGGCCGTCAACTGAGCATCAGGATCCGAAGGGTCCGAAATAGACCTCGAACTGTTAAGGTGAAGCATGTGACTGAAACGATGCACTCGCCCAATCGATCGCCTACCCGCATTCCCAACGCGCCGAGCTGGCGTTTCCTTGGGATTATAGAAAGGCGAACCTTCGGAATCGCGATGGACCAGATTGATACTAAATCCACCGCTCTGCGCATCCACAAATGCGGACATAATTATACAACAAAACGTAGCTAGTGCAAGTGTGATCGGGAAAGACATGGTTGGTTTTGGCTCCATGATGTATGTCAAGATTGAGAGATGATTGATGAGTGGAATTAATGGATCACAAATGCATTCTATATATAGTGTCTTCTTAATTCAAATCAATTATATTATGCTTCTTGTCATTATTTCCATATATTCTTTTTTCATTAATTGATTGATGCCTTGTTTGTCACACTCATTTCCCCCTGACAAAATTAAAGGCCGCACATGACAAAATACTAACTTCATATATAATTAGAGTTGAGTTCACACATGACAAAGTTTGGACTCTAGGTTGATGTCCATTTCTTCATTCTCTACTATGCATGTCCTATACTTCTTCACAGCTTTTCGTTGAACACTACTATATATGTTTCTATGTGCTAACGATGCACTCAAGTTCCTGGCCACTCCAAATTATCGATTAAACCTACACTGACTTCATTTTTCCGGTAAACTACAGAGCTAAGTTATATATGGTGATGCTCATAGTTGTTAAGTAAAATACAATTTGACAGAAATTCTACCTAGAGGCTGCTTCAAAACACAAATGAAAATAAAGGGTTAATATATTTGTATGGCCTGAAATTTGATCATAGTAAACATTCTACTCAATCTTTTCCATCTGTAATATCCTGGCCCAAACTATACATAAAAGCAACGACATTGGCCAAACCCGATGTTTGACTATTATCTTGAACGGTCAAACAAGGTTACTAAAAGATCAACATGCTATGTCACCATCCGGTCATCATAAAAATCATTAAAATATTCGTAATTTACATATATTTTCTAATTTTAAACTATTACAATTAAATTAAAAAAATTGAGACCCCCATCGGCCGCTCCCCTACATCTACTCCCCCAATCTCTTCTTCGACAGAGAGCTCCAACATTTTCTTCTTGGATTGGGATTAGTTTACCAGGGAAAGGGTTCGTGAGAGTAGTTCTATAAACTATATAGTCTATAAGATCAAATTATTTTTTCATAAGTTTTATTATGCATGATGTAAATTGATGAGATGTTGAATATATATGGTTCAGGCTAGCGTACGCCCGGGCGTACGTTAGACTACCGTACGCCCGTTTAAGTTTTGCTATTTAGATCAAGAATTAATCGGAGTTTTGGTCATGATACTATACCCTAACCACTAAAGGATAAAACCCCAGTCCCTAGTTTTCTAACCCAAATCATGAGATTTGTTTAATCTTAAAATGAAAATCAACAATAATTTCGACGAATCAGAACCGTTGATTTTCATTTCAAGATTAAATGAATATTATTATTTGGGTTAGTGAATTGCAGACTGGGGTTCACCCATTAGGGGTTAGGGTATAGTATCGTGCCCCAAACTCAGGTTAATTTATTGTCTAAATAGAAAAACTCAACGGGCGTACGGTAGGCTAGGGTACGTCTGGGCGTACGCTAGCCTTTGCCATATATATATATATATATATATATATATATATATATATATATATATATATATGGTACTAATAAAATTGTTTAGGAGATAGAAAACAATTAATTACATATACAACTACATGTGGGGAAAAGAGTTATGCTGAAATTAGGTGTAGCGTATAAAAAAATAAAGGTGAATAATACCCTAAAAAAAAGGGAAGCAAAATTTAATTCGCCCTTAACTTTTTCGTAAGGGTTAGTAATTTAAGCTTATGTAAATCTTTCGTAGTATGAAATAAAAAACATACAAAGATAGTTTTGTAAAGTGAATAAATCCGTAGAAAACAATTAATTGCATATACAACTACATGTGGGGAAAAGAGTTATGCTGAAATGAGGTGTAGCGTATAAAAAAATACAGGTGAATAATACCCTACAAAAAAGGGAAGCAAATTTAATCCGCCCTTAACTTTTTCGTAAGGATTAGTAATTTCAGCTTATGTAAATCTTTCGTAGTATGAAATAAATAAAAAATACAAAGATAGTTTTGTAAAGGGAATAAATCCGAGGGTAAAAACTATTTTTAGCCAATCTTTCACAAATTCTAAAACATTAGTCAAACCTTTTAGAATAACAAAATTATAGACATTTTCATTCAAATATGTGGACTGGCGATTAGCTTATGTGTAATTATGTTAATACTAACGTTAACTTTAATGGAAAGTAACTATAATTTTATAGTTTTATTAAAGATTTGACCAATATTTAGTATTGTCAAATGTTTTACTAAAAAATAGTAGTCACCCTAAATCTTATGGTGAAACTTTTCCATCTTGTGTGGCTTGGGACAGTTTGTTGTTAAAGTGAATTTGATTTTAAAAAAACTAATAATTGATTGTTAGAAAAACTTATCATGGACCTTACTATATGAGATATGACCCTTACTTAATTAAGGAAAATTTAATTTTTCATCCTTGCTTACTTTACTTGTGCTATTACAATATAAAATATCACAATATAATAATAATTTAGCTTATGTTGCATTTTTCGAATAGGTTTACGATTGATCGTTGTTTCATGACCGGTACCAATGAGTGAATAGTTATGAAAAATAAACTGAAATAAACGACACCAAACTAACGTGGTATCACTGACGTTTTAAAGATTAGGACGAATCCACGACACAAAGCGTTCTTCTTCTCTTATTCAGCTCAAAGGCTGCCGAACCCCAATCACACCATACACTACAAGAAAAAGGATCTATACCAAGGGTTTAGTAGCAAGGGTTCCCAAATCGCTGCTAATTTTTTCGGAAATCATTGTAGCAACGGGTTGTTGCAGGGGTTCTATAACCCTTACTACAGCCTTAAACTTAAAGTATATCGTATTCTCTTTCCTTTCCTAACATTGCTTCAGGAAGTCCCTCTTCCCTAATTCGGATTTTGATTCTTCTTCTTTTCGGTCCCTGTTCGTCGAAAGATTTCGTCGGAGTGAAAGAGATTGGAAAATCGCCACGGAGCGACGAGAGATCCAGTTCGGAGAGTCACGGCGGAGCGGCGAGAGATCAGGGAATAATTAGACAAGTCACCAGAATCAGCGATTCCGATCTCCCTCCTCAATCGCTTCGATTGAAAGGCGATTCCAGTCTCCCTCACTCGATCTGGCTGATGAGGCGATTCTCTGGTATTCCTCACTTACGCCGGCTGAAAGGTGATACTTGAATTTCTTTTTCTCGCTCGCACTCTCCCTTGCTCGATCTCTCATTTCTGAGCTCCGATTAGGTTTCTTAGGGTTTGTAGTGCGGTTGCTGCCGCTGGCTGCATGCAATAGTGAGTACATCTAGAACATGCGATTCAATTTGGTGTCATGATTTTAATGTCTTGGCTTCTCGGGAGCCTATTACATGTGTTAGAATTCTTGTCTTCTCGGTAGCCTATTTGGTGTGTTAGAACTCTGTTTCTTAATAGAGTCAGAGTGGTTTGCAGGCTGCATTTCCACAAGTTATTCTATCTATTCTAAACACTTGTTGTAGTTCTTTGTTTTGAATTTAATCTATAAGGGGAATGCCTCGATCGTAAGCAGCTGCTAGCATCCCAGCTTTGCTTTTATATTAGTTGGAAATTTGTACTAAGTAGAGGAACTTTGAGTGTTGCTGCTTCTTGTAACCTGTTAGGCATGTGCTCTTCTGAGTTGTTGATCGTCAAACTGTCTATGAAAGCATGATTATTGGTGGGTAGATAAATCTTAGAAGTGAAGCTCTTTTTTTGTTAACTTGTCCCTCGATGAAGTTATTGGGTTGTTACTTGTTTGTCATGTTGTCTATCATCTTGTTCAATTGGTGTGTCCAATAAGCTGAAGCACTCTCTCTGTTAACTCGTATCTTGATGAAATTAGTGTGATCTACACTGGGTTTGTTCCTTGAACTAGATTTATCTAACATATAATAGGGATGGATCAGAATTATTATCCAACCACTAAGAACAAGCTTGGATCTATCATATAATTTCATAGAGATTTATTGACTCAATTTTAAGGGGTTTTTTTGTGATAGTCATCTGTTTGCTTTACTATTAAAAAACAAAGTTCCACCATGTTGTTTCTTCTTAATATTTTTTTCACTTTACGGTAGAATTAAGAAGCTTAACACATAAGCTTGTGGGCATTTATGCAGAAATTTCTTATGGAAGCAAAGAGGCGTCTTGGAGAGATTCTATCCGCCTTGAATTTATGGACAGTGTCGCGATGGATGTGGTATGACTACTCTAATGCTTGGATCTTTTTCTTGTCCTTCAATTGAATATTTCTTGAGTGTTAAGAAAATGCTGCCATTTTTTGCATTGTTATAGTTCTCACTCTATTTTATCATACGGCTACTTATTCTACTATGTGCATTAGGTTTTAAACAATCTAGATGGTGTTCGGAATCCACTGGCTCCCACTAAGCACAACTTTTATGTTTTGATTGAGACAACAAGCAGCGAAGAGTCCTATGACAATTGACAAGTATCTTCTTCCTCGGTTTTCATTTGTGTTTCAGCATGATTGTGTTAATATCATACGATTAAGCTCTTTGTTGTTAGTTTAAAGTAATTACTTATGGTGCCATTGTTCTCACTGTTGAGAAGTATATTTCAAGTTTATTGCTGCTATCTTATAGTCATCTGTGTCTTTGTAAGGCTTGGTTTGCCGTTCTATGCTACATTTCTGCTAGATCTAGTTCTGGATCGCAGTTTTCTCTCGATTGATACTCTGCATTTCCACTTGTATTTGCATAGGGTTAGAGATATTAATGGGCATGTGAGCAGCATTGCACCAAGGTTCCAAGATGTCCTTAAAGCCTTCTCTTACATGTAATTTTCGCGATTTTAATTTTCCGAGCAATCCAAAAAAAATTCGATTATAATTTTATCTCTTGCATCTATCTCAGTGTGATCAGCAGACACAATTAGAAGCTACTGCATCCCTCCTTCATTTACTGCATGTGTTTCATTTGATAGATTAACAATGAGTTCTCAATACTTCCTTCTCTTTTTTCTCTCTCCGGATTCTAGATTATGGTTTCTTAATATAAACCTGTTTTCAGTTTGGTGCATCGTTTTTACTCTGATTTGGTAATGTTGTCTTTTCCCGCCCTACAGTATGGAGTTCCCTTGTAGATCCGCTGCTGGTGAAGGTCCCCTGGTTTCTTTTTGTGGATCAGATGGTGTTATTAGAGTTCTTTGATGATCTCGTGGAAGGTTGTGGCTTCTTGAACCCAGAAATAAGAAAGGATAGAACAGATAATTGTTTTTTGTGTTGCATACTTGCTGCTTTCAGTAATCAATAATTTTTTGTTGCAGCTTGTACACAGATACACGTGAGGTCATAAAGGCGCCATAGCTTGCTTGATGACCTTCATGGCTTCCTCTGGTGAGGTAGTTCTTTCATTCCAGTGCTGCATTGATTTTGATATATATTTGAAATCATGCTTAGCACTTCTAAAGAACGCATCATGTATGCTCTCATTTGAGCTCATATTGATCTGTAACTCGGAATGATTTGCCCACGATTATAATTAATTTGACTAGGCGCTACTTTTTCGGGCGGTTGTGATGGTCTACTTGTGCTTTGGAGCGCTGACCATGTTCATGATTCAAGGGAGCTTGTGCCCAAGCTAAGTTTAAAGGTGGGTACCTTTCTCTTCCTAGTCTTATCATTCTAGTTCCGGAAGCTCATATGTAGCTTGTGATTCAAATAAGAATGCACTACCTTCTTGGATTTGTTCTCAATATTTAATAATGTTTGTGAAGGTACCCCCAGAAATGATTCATGAGTAAAGTAAACAGTGATGTTGCTAAGAACAGTTAACGAAGGTAAGGAAACCAATGGTGACGAGGTTGTCAGTAAGAAAGTTCCGGGACAAAAGTGGATGGAGGATGTTGAAAACAATTAGGTACTGTCTTGTCCACTGTTGCTTCTTCCATTTAGGAACTAAATCTTATTGCATGAGTGGACAAGAGCAAGACATGTGATTTTGTTAAATTATGTTATTGTTTCCTTCGTTACCTACCCTCTTTATATGTAAACAATATTTGTGACCAAGAATCTTAATGTTGTTCTCTCATGTTTGCGCATACAGGTTGACTTCATAAAAAATGGCAATCCGAGACAACAACTACTACTCCATGTATGCAATTGAAGCCACCTTTCATACACCTGAAACGGTATCCACATCCTCCACGTTGCCTTTTTGAAGGATTTGGGAAATGATGTACTCCTACTCCATCTTTGGGTCCCTAAGTTTCGTGAAATGATGTCGTGAAGCTCTTATTTGAAGAATTTGGGATCGTGATCTACTCATGTTGCTTTGAATCGTACTTTTTAGTGATTGAAATAATATGAGCATACCGTGTTTCTTTTCATTATGCTCGCATGTTTATGCTGTTCAGCATTTAGCCATGTAAACAATACTATTTTGGTGGGTATATCGTATAATATGAATGTCTATAGTGACAAGGTTATGCACAACCATATCTAATGCTTCTATTTTTAGTGACGACTGGGGTGGTCGCAAAATGTTCTGATTTGGTCACAAAGTATGCAAAGGGTTTATAGTGACCAAAATTTAGTGACGGCTCGTTTCGACACAAAATGATTTTACTTTCCCCACAATTATTCAAGGGGTTTATAGTGACCAAACTTTAGTGACGGCTTTACTTTTGTCACAAATTATGCAAGGGAATTAACACTCGCAATTATTGCTATATTGTCCTATAGCAAGGGTTTTAACCCTTGCTAGTTGTAGCAATGAGTTTAGCAAGGGTGGTAACCCTTGTTACAACAATCTTTGAGGGGAATTTTACAAAGATGTGTAGCAAGGGTTTTAACCCTTGCTATAACCCTTGGAGGGTACTTCCACCAAGGGTCGCTTAAAACCCTTGCTACACATAGCAAGGGCAGCTTTGCCAAGGATTCGTCCAAGGGTTGGCAGAACCTTTGCTACAGCTTGTAGCAAGGGTTAAAACCCTTGCTATGAATGAAAATAACCCTTGGCATAATGCCTCTTTTTTGTAGTGATATATATACAATTAATAACCCTAATCTATCACACGTCATCAATCATATATGTGCTAGGGTAAGTCAGCATAACCATGCAAGGCTACGTGGGCTCAAAATAGTTAAAGTCCACTAAACATAATGATACATATAAAATACATGGGTTGCTTAATAATGATCGTCTAGCAGCCTCCCCAAATTTCTGCTGGGTACCCACCATCAATTTGAAAGAGAGATACTAGTGACGACTAGTAGAGAAGGACTTCGTCAAAAGATCTGCCATATGGTCCTCAAATTTGACATATTGCAAGTGCATTGTCCCATCTCGTATATAATGCGCATGAATCTCAATCTGCTTACTACAATCATGAAACACTGGATTAGGGGGCATCTGGATGGCGCTAGTGGTGTCGAAAAACCAATCCATCGGTGGGAAACAAGTGACTCTGAAATCTTTCAACAAACGTGAAAGTCATACCAACTCGGAGGCCACATCGCACATGTCCCGATATTCAGCTTCTTTAGATGACTTGGATACTTTATCCTGCTTCTTGCAACGTCATGAGATAAATGCACCACCAAACTGGATCTGTAGAAGAACGCCTAGTGTCCTGGCATCCGACACAGTCTACATAAGAAAAGGCACAAATGGAGCTAGGACCACTAGCCTAGAAGAATATCCCGACATCTTGAGTACCACGAAGATCTTGCAGGATCAGATGAACTGCAGCAAGATTACGTTCCATAGGGGTTCAAACAGGAGTGCACTCATCAAACTGGTGATCAGCCAAAAGACCGGAGATATATTTACGCTGACTAAGAAAATGTCAGGATCTGTGCGATTGATCTCAAGCCCAATGAAGTAAGAAAGATGTCCAAGATCCTACAGAGATAACGCAGCATGAAGACCCTCTTTTAGAGACTGAATGGCGGCCATGTCACTGCCAAGTTTGTCCATCCGTCTGAGGGTGATAAGCTGTGGAGTAGTGTAACTGAGTACCCTGCAATGCAAATAAATTGGTCCAGAAATTGCTGGTAAAGATCACATCTCTATCCGAGACAATGGACTGGGGCATACCATGAAGCTTAAACACCCCTTCCAAGAACACCTGAGCCACTGAAGCAGCTGTTTATGGTCTGCTAAGCCCAAAGAAGTGTCCATACGATGAACCGATCGACCACCACTAGAATCACTTCCTTTCCCCCAAATTTTGGCAACCCCTCGATAAAGTCCATATAGATATGCTTCCAAGCTCCCTCTGGTATGGGCAAGGGCTGTAAAAGTCCAGGGGATGGTACATTCTCACTCTTGTACTTTTGGCAAACATCACACTCAGCAATGAACTGTCTAACATCCCGCTTCAGACCAGGCCACCAAAAGTAAGTCTTCAGCCTCTGATACGTGGCTTGCGTTCCTGAATGGCCTCCTATTGGAGACTCATGAAACAATTGCAGGATCTTTTCTCTCATACTGCCAGCATTCCCTACATAAATGGCAGACTTATGGTACAACACACCCTGTCTAACCGTGTTTACCTTTGGCCCCATTGTAGGAACTGCTGCCTCCACCATAGCCTCTTTTAACCATTCTTCATCTTTGTAGGTTGCTTCCACTTCCCCCAACCAAGCAGGTAAGACTGCTGTCACAGCCTGACAACTACTACCGAGCAGATCAGGTTGTCTTGAGAGGGCATCTGCCACTTTGTTGTAACGACCCTGACGATATTTAATCTCATAGTCAAACCCAAGTAACTTAACTAGACCCTTTTTCTGAATCTGAGTGTGTATTTTCTGACCCAACAAGTGCTTCAGACTCTCATAGTCAGTCAGGATCGTGAATCGCCTCCCTTCTAAGTAATGTCGCCACTTGGTGACTGCCATCTCCTTCTCACTTTGGCATTCAGAATCCACTCTCCACGTCGGTAGCAGCAGCGGCGGATAAGCTGAGGGAGCAACATAGGTTGGTTGGACTTCTCAGACACAATTTGGCCAAGGCTCAAAATCGTCGAAAGCAAATGGCAGACAAGCACAGGACTGAGCGGGCTAATCAGAAGTTGGCACCAAAGTTTTATGGACCATTTCTTGTGTTACAGAAGATTGGAGTTGTTGCATACAAATTACAGCTGCCTGAAGGTGCTGCAATTCATAATGTCTTCCATGTGTCACAGTTGAAGAAGGCCACAGGAGCTCAGGTGCTTGTGCAACCAACATTGCCTGAAGTGGATGATGCTAGAACCCTGAAGTTGGAACCCACTACAATGCTTGCAAGGAGGGTTGTTGAGAAGAGAAGAGATAGGAAGAGAGAAGAAAGAAGGAGGGAAAGTAGTTAGTTCTTATTTCTGTACCAACGACTCTCTTTGCGTTCACTTAAGTACCCTCTCCTGGCCTGACAGCTGTCAACCACTACTTACAAAATCATCCCTCTTTCCCTACATTATTATAAAACGACCCCCAACATCCAAACTGTTACACTAGGCATTAGCAGAACATATAGCAGACCAGGGAAATTGGAGATTCGAAGAGACTTCTTGCCTCTATCAGCCTGTCACCATCGTAGTCTTCTTGCCTCTGTTTATGCTTCTTCAGCGCAATCACTTTTTTGGGTGCACTCAGTGCACCCAACTCTAAAAGTATCTATATACATCAAATTTTGAACTTTAATTAGTACTCTCAATCTAATATGATGATATGACATAGAATCATACCAAATCATTATTACCCTAACCCCTTAACCTTCAATTTGGAATCCCAACCCAAAATCCCAAATTATAACCCTAAACCCCAACCCTAAATCCCTAAATCTTAAATCCTTCAAATTCAATTAAATTTTGAATGATTTTTTTTTCAAATTCATGTGCTTCTTGTTCATAATATCATAAGCAACAATTGATATCGTTTTGATATGAATCGCATGCTCAGAATGACAATTATGAGGCGGGTGCACTGAGTGCACCCAAAAAAGTGGGTGCACCGAATACGACACCATATATATATATATATATATATATATATATATATATGTGGTACCCCGAATTGCACCCTGGGTACAGTAGAACTCCACACATACACACACACACACACACATATATATATATATATATATATATATATATATATATATATATGGTACCCCGGGTGAAATCCGGGGTACCACATACCTTAAGTATGAAAACGCTATCTATACCTCGAATTAGCAGGATTTTTGGGCATGATACTATACCCTAACCCTTAACGAGTCAACCCTAGGTCCTAATTATCTAATTCAAAAACTATAAACCCTAAATGGTGCATTGATTTTTTTGCATATATTTGGACGAATCATAACCGTCGATTATTGTTTCTAATTAAATTAATCTTGGGGTATAAGATTCAGAGAATTAAGACCTAGATTTTGATCTTTAACGGTTAGAGTATAGTTTCATGCCCGAAAGATCAATCAATTCAAGTTCTGGATAGCGTTTTCTTACTCAAGGTATGCGGTACCCCGGATTTCACCCTGGGTACCGTAAAACTCGCCATATATATATATATATATATGGAACCGACTCGTGTGCTCCAGGCGCATAGCATGCTCCAGGTCCTGAGATCGTTGATCTAATCTAACGGCTAGTATTAATTATATTAAAATTATATATTTAATAAAGATTATGATTACAAATTACACCCCTTAAATAATTATATGTGCTATGAAGTCCCCGAACAATAATTACCATCATGTTTTCTCGTCTGATACCTTATTTTATAGAGTTCTATTATTCAACAGCAAATTTTATACAATTGATAAAAAAGATTCTCCATTAAAATTTGGCTGGAATTGTTAATGAATCAAAACTTCATTGTCATCATCCACTCAAAGGTTATCGTCATCATCAAAGCAGACCATCCCTAATTCCCTCTTCTTCTTCTTCGTCCCGACTGTCCCTCCTCTCCTCGCTCTATCAATCCCATCTCGACCCTTCTAACTCCTTCTCTCCCACTCCCTATCTTTTATCCCCTTCGTAGCCCAGACTTTCGATTGGGCGCAGCAGGACGAGCAGAACACTACATCCACCATTGCTGACTCGGAACAGGAAGAAGAAGGTGAGGATTCGGCAGCCGAGGAGGGCCCGGTGGCTTCCTACGCCGCCGCCGAAGATGGGGATGATGCAATTGAGGCGCAGGAGCCGTCGGAGGACGCCAAAGTGTTCGTCGGTAACTTGCCGTACGATGTGGATGGTGAGAAATTGGCTATGCTCTTCGAGCAAGCTGGAACTGTAGAGATTGCTGAGGTTTGTTTCGATGGACAATCTTCGAGCAAGCTGGAACTACCAGCGAGCGCTCGACGACGAGCTCGACAATCTCCTCGCCCAGCGGAGCGATCTCGACAAGCAGCTCGTCCACCTCCAGAAATCGGCCGAGGTTCTCGAGATTGTCAAGGCCGATTCTGACTACATGCTCAGCAATGTTGGCTCCACCTGCGACCTCGCTGACCACGTCAGCGCCAAGGTTCGGGAGCTGGACCTGGCTCAGTCGCGAGTGAACACTACCGTGCTGCGGATCGACGCCATTGTCGAGAGAGGGAATTGCATCGACGGAGTGAAGTATGTGCAGACGTTCCTTCATATTGATGCCAAGTACAAAGACTCCGGATCCGAGCAGAGAGATCAGTTGCTAGCTTCCAAGAAGCAGCTTGAAGGGATTGTGAGGAAGCGGCTCGCTGATGCAGTGGATCAGCGAGATCATCCCACGATTCTGAGGTTCATTCGGCTGTATTCGCCTCTGGGATTGGAGGAGGAAGGGTTGCAGGTTTACGTAGGGTATTTGAAGAAGGTAATTTCTATGAGATCGCGGCTTGAATTTGAGCATTTGGTGGAGTTGATGGAGCAGGGGCATGCTCAAAACCAGGTTGATTTTGTTGGTTGTTTGACTAACTTGTTTAAAGACATTGTGCTAGCCATAGAAGAGAACGATGAAATATTGAGGAGTCTCTGTGGAGAAGATGGGATTGTTTACGCGATTTGTGAATTGCAAGAAGAGTGTGATTCTAGGGGTTCCCTCATTTTGAAGAAATATATGGAATACAGGAAATTGGCCAAGTTAGCATCAGAGATCAATGCCCAAAACAAGAACTTGCTTGCTGTTGGAGGGCCAGAAGGCCCTGATCCTAGAGAGGTTGAATTGTACTTGCAAGAGATTCTGTCGTTGATGCAAATAGGTGAAAATTACACGGAATTTATGGTTTCCAAGATTAAAGCATTGAGTTCAGTTGATCCGGAATTGGTACCAAGAGCCACAAAGTCTTTCAGGAGTGGGAGCTTCAGCAAAGTAGTCCAAGACATTACTGGCTTTTATGTGATCTTGGAAGGGTTCTTTATGGTTGAAAATGTTAGGAAAGCCATTCGGATTGATGAGCAAGTACCTGATAGCCTTACCACTTCGATGGTGGATGTTGTGTTCTATGTTCTGCAGAGTTGCTTGAGAAGAGAAATTTCCACTTCAAACATTAGCTCAGTGATTGCTGTCCTTAGTGGCGCAGGTAGTTTGTTGAGCTGATGTATTGTGATCTTTAGGAAACTCAAGCCAAGTGAGTGATGGTGCTGGGGCTGTATTGCTCATGAGGAGAAGTGTTGCAATGCAAAAGGGTCTCCCCATCCTTGGAGTGTTCAGGTTAGCTACATGTTCACTTTAAGGAGTCTTCACAAGTTATATTGGTACTTAATGTTCTTATCGCTACCTTGCCTGCCCCATTACACTGAAATCAAGTTCAGGGCAGAAAGTTTCCACTTAGCTGTCTGTTGCTTTTTTTTATTTAGTTGAAAGCAATACGTGAATGCATGGTGAATGTCTTGCAATTTACTAAATGTAGAAATAAATTCCTGCATAACGATAAAGTAATGAATGTCCTGTAGACAACAAATTCAGACACCTTATTTTGAAAGACTCTGTCCCAACTTATTCACATTCCTCTCAAGTTTCTGGCCTCTTGAACTTGATACTGATGTTGAACCTTCTTCCTTTTGCTTTAACTGTAACACCAATTTTTGAATATTTTTCAGGAGCTTTTCTGCTGTTGGTGTCGATCCTGCCATAATGGGTGTTGGTCCAGCTGTTGCAATTCCAGCAGATGTTGAAGCTGCTGGTCTAGAGCTTGAAGATATCGACCTTTTTGTGTCCATGTGCATAGGTCGGGGATATACCATATGGACTAGTCCCTTACTCTTCTAGATTGAATTGTGTTGTTCGATCAGCGATGTACCATGTGGCTAACTATGACAACTCTAATGTGCAGGAACCGGGATGGGAGCGGCAGCTGTGTTCGAAAGAGGGGATTGTGTAGATGGCCTTTGCAATGCGAAGAAAATAGACAGCCAGAACCTCTTATCCAAAGATGCCAAGTAAAACCGTTTCTCGATGCTGGGATGAATGATTGCCGGAACCCTCTCTCAATAGGACAGGACAACACAATAAAGTATTTGATCTTCTGTTTGATATACCTTCAACTGAGTTCAACTTGGTGATGTACACAGGACATGTGAGGGAGGTTCTTGACAGTTAACAAAGCTGCTCCTAGAGGATCAAGGCCGGAGCGGGCTCCCCCGTGTGTTCGAACCTCTATTTTTGGACTAGAATGCATTAATAGTATGTTTGTTGTGTAATTCTCACGTTGTTAACTCAATGCAAATACAAACGAATTTACTTCCACTGTTGACAAAAGCAATCAAGTCACATCTACTAATACTAATTTGTTCAAAGTACCATAACTAATTTAAATTCATATTTTACATCAAGCACCCCTCAAAAGGATAATAAACGTACAAAAGATATTAGCGTTCACATATCCATTACACTTACAGAACACGAGAGATTACAGAGAGGTGGACCATTAATAACATTAATCCGATCATATTAATAATACCCAATTGCTACTTAGTTATCTAAAGGCAGGAACAACTTAACCAAGAATAAATCAAAATAATTCCCCACGTTGTTCCAAGGACCGATTGTGACCATGACTTCATATGACTTGTCACCAATCAAGTTGAGAAGTGTAAGATAGTCGGCATTGTCAATCTCAGAAGGACTGACTACAGAAGAAATGATTCTCCGTAAGTATGATGATGGGAACACGACCTCAACATCACAAATGTCATCTTCAATGGTCAAGTGAATCAAGTATACTCTCGATGCATCACACCGAGATCTCGTCAGCTCTGTTACAACGCCAGAGAAAATGTACGAAGTGCCCTGATATAATGCAGAAGATGATGATTTGCAAAAAAATAAACAAATCAGATGCAAATCAATCACAGAAGAGATAGAGAAGGATAGATAACAAGCGTCTTATCTTACTCACCTGATCATCACCATCCAATTGCTTTGGGATTAGATCTAAAGTTTCAACCCTCTCAGACATTGCCACGGCATTTTGATAATTTAGATTCGTAACAAAATCATCTCCAAGGGTAAAAAACCTACAATTTAGATTATTAGCAATTGTATTAAGTAGTTATGAGAACACAAGAATATGGTTTATTATGAGTTGGTTGGGAAACCATTACTTACGGGTTCCATTCAGGTATGTTGTCCATCTCAAATATATGTCACACTGATTTCCTTCTGCTCAACCTCTATTTTTGGAAGTATCTGCCATTATCAAAAGAGGATATTGTTCCGACACTAATCAAATAATCATGTACAAATGAAGAGAAGACACATCTTAGGCATCAGAAACAAAGACATGCAAGGCAAAATCAAAATAAAAGAATGTTCGAAAGTAGAAATACTAGCTGAACAGCGTATGAAAGAAAGAAGGCCTCAGTCCTTCACATTCAACTCATAGTCAGGGTTGCTGGTATTCTTCTCATTTCTAAACAAATTATAGCCAATGAAAAGAGCAAGCTGAAGCCATTTAGCAGCTCATAATCTTCAATATCTGATACCTATTCAATATCATATTCACTTTAGAAAACATAGCTTACTGCAGGGCGCCACCATCAAGGAATGCAGACACAGTAGTAAACTAGAGGGGAAAGCGAGAAACCTGGTGAAGTTCAGCAGGATAAACTAATCCCGCAAGTTACTGGAATCGGGAGGTCGCCAGTGCTTCTTCTCAACTGCTGTTTTCCTTTGCTAACGGAAGCCGAAATCAATTCCTCTGTTCCATAAACACGTCGTCTACAAGTTAGCTCGGAACTTCAATAAAGCAAACACGAAGCTCGAAGAAGAGAATAGTGTGCAAACTTCTAATGGCGGCGAGGAATCGCAAAGCGTTTCAAACACCAGGCCGTTGCCCAATCGACTAAGAATTATCTGAGAGCAGAAGGAGGCGTACCCAAAGGAGCGGAGGACGCGATTATCGCCAACCTGTTGATGAGTGGAAAGAAAATATAAATGTGAGATGCTGGAAAAATCTTGAGAATCAACTCTTGGGGATGAGAATAATGTGGGTCAGGCAGATAGGAGGACAGCCAAACCCGACCATGCAATGAACCAGTCCGATTGATGTCTTCGCCGGGAACGGAACAGAGGCGCCGAAGGGAAGAGGAAGAGGAAGCAGAAACGTTTTCGTGATCCTTTTTGGTTTTGGTTTTTTTTTTTTATGCAAACGTTTTGGCCGGCCAAACCCAACTAATGGGCCTATATCAACAGCCCAAACTTACAACTAGCCGGCCAACGGGAGAACGCGCCTGCTGCACTGTTGGGCCTATTCGATGGTAGTAATGTTGGTTGTTTCTGATCTCAAGCCCTCAACTGCAAAAAAAGTCTTCAATTCGTCTACTCGTCGGGCCCTAATTAGACAGAACTCTTGGCCGACTTCGATGGAATGGGGCACGAGAAAGTCCAGTTATGGTTTGGTGTTTCCTAATGGACACCGCTACTATTATTATATAGGTAAGTGAATGTGTGTTCTTATCCATTTGTCGATGTGGTAGAAATAGAGAATAATCTTCTTCCATGTCCATCCAATTAGCTTCTTGTCTCCTTTTCCTTCGAATTGGTCCTTGCAGGTTGTGAAAGGGTTTCTCTTTCCTGCCAGTTTAGTGTACGGTATCATCCTTTTGGGGTTGGAATTAACGGAGAAGTACTCTTTAGCAAATCATCAATTATGTCGTCAATCTGGGTCTGACAAAAGAGTAATCACTTACCTTCGACCTTTTTTTATAGTTTACTAAGTCATGGTCTCGTGGAGAATGATTTTACATGGATTGGGTAAGTGATATTGGCTGAAGATTTTAACTAATAAGAAGGCCTTCACTATTCTTATCAGCTTAAGTGCCATTCTTATAGGTTGTGGTCTACGCCTTTATATATGGTGCCCAATTAGACATTTACAAAAAAATTACAACCTCTAAGGCAATAAAATATGGACATAGAATTATATAATTGGTAATTGAACCCTAAACCCTAAACTCCAAACCCTGAACCCTATACCCTAAACCCTGAACCCTATACCCTGAACCCTGATCCCTATACCCTAAACCCTGAACCTTATACCCTGAACCCTGAACCCTGAACCCTAAACCCTGAACCCTATATCTCCGCACGATCAGTTCTCATAGTAGCATAACACATGCAAACGAGTCATATTCAATGGGTTGACTTTTGGTTGACTTCTGTCTATCGTTCTTTCTCAATAACGTAAAAATGGCTAATATTTTGATGCATCATGAAATATTTGGATAATTAATAGAATTTTAATAGGTTTGTAATTTTGTGCCCAGTTTGAACATTTTATGAGCTTAACTCGATTTTGGGTTTTGGGTACTTGTAATGAGCTTATCGGCCGACTTTGAGTAATCTTTGAGATCGAAATATGTGAAGACATATGTTCTCTTTGTTATACCCTCTTGTCATACACTGCACCCTATACACTGAACCCTAAACCCTAAACCCTATACCCTGAACCCTAAACCCTGAACCCTAAACCCTATACCCTGAACCATATACCATGAACCCTAAACCCGAAACCCTAAACCCTAAACCCTAAACCCTAAACCCTAAACCATAAACCCTATACCATGAACCCTAAATCCTAAACCCTAAACCCTCGTTTATATGAGCGGTAACTTTAAACAATTTTATAGATACTTAAATTGAGGAGATAGGTTTAGAATTTGAAAAAAAATAAAGAAACAATGAATATAAAATTTCATTCCCCCAAACTATCCCGCCAGTTTTTTGTTTTGGATTTTCCCAAACTTTGAACCAAATAAAAAGATTTTCCCACCATATCATGAATTTATTAATTTATGCAGCTTTGAAATAGGAAAGGCTAATTAAAACACAAAGAAAAAAAAAAGGAAAGGCTTGACAGGCTAGAACACGATGTCGTACAGGACAATAGAATTAGGGTAACTCTACCTTCCTCATTCGCATCCTTCATTCTTCCTCAGATCCACCCATTTCCTCACCATCGTTCCAGTGAAAAGGATAACGAAACAGCACGAAAATCCCAAATCCTACCCTAAAAAAACGACAATCCAACGATGGAGCTCCAAACAGAACCGCGACGGAACCCTGTTTTTATCCGCCAAAACAAAATTTCATTTCTTTGCAACCCTTCCCATCCCACTGAAACAGAATAGCATAGTTTCATTCTCTCTTTCCATTAATCGTTTGATGTTCCTGGGAAATCTGGTCGATTTGGGGTCTTCGAAGCTGGCCCACTTTGCCGGCGGCCGAAGGTGTGGCCTTGTCGATGAGCACGCGGAGCTTCAGATATACAATTTCTGGGATATATGGCGCATGCATATCGCATAATGAATCACTCGAAGAAGGTAGGCTTCCAAATCTCTGCACTTCCCTCGCCCCGATTCGGCTTTGATTCACTGAAACGGCGATTGGTTCAGGTTCATGCTCTGGTAGCGAGCAACGAAACGGTGATTGAAGCTGGGATCGGAGATGAGGGAGCTCCACAGCTTGCAGATGGGTTTGTAGAGGAAGGCGGATCTGGGATTGGGGAGGGGAATCAGAATCTCGACGAGGAGGCCGTCTCCGAGTTTGCTGATGGCGGAAGGAGGGTGTAGTGAACTTCTGAGAACTGGGTTTCTGTTGCCGCCGCCGCTCCTATCGGTGACAACGGCTCCTCCTCCATCTCCACCGCTTTGCCGTTACAGCCAGGTAAAGTTTGGTTCTTGGTCTCTGCTTTCGCTTGTTTTTCTCTGATGGATTCTGAGAACTGGGTTTCTGTTGCAGTTGGTAGCCGGGTTGGAGAAGTGAGGAAACTCACCAAAGAGACCAATGTTTCTGTGAAAATTAACTTGGATGGTACTGGGGTTGCTGACTCGTCCACGGGAATCCCATTTCTCGATCACATGTTAGATGTTAGTGAACTTCTGGAAATCACTTTGCAGCTGTGGAACTTCCCTTTTCAATTTGGTCGACTACTCGATTTTCTTTTGCCCTGGATTTGATATATGATATTTCCCGCTTTTCGATCCATTGATTGTAGCAACTTGCTTCGCATGGGCTGTTTGATGTACATGTGAGGGCAACTGGTGACATTCATATTGATGACCATCACACCAATGAAGATGTTGCTCTTGCTATTGGATCGGTCAGTACTTCCAGTTACCTTCCCCTTTTCATTTCTCAGTCTTCTGCCTTGATATAGCTCACCACTTGTAACTCGCCTCCATGGATTATTGATTGAGGATTTTGAGAGCTATCAGCAAAGAGAGCTAGGGAATTGGTCAGGCAAAAACAAGCAAAAGTGCTTTCTCTGAGGTATTATATGGTAGTGTATTTATATTTAGCAGAGTTTTGTGCCAAATAACTTGGTGTAGTTCCTTCGTTACTTATACTATGTTGCTTTGTCCTTTTCTGCAATATTCAGCTGCAAGAGGAAGCTGTCATTACTCTTCAATGTTTGGGGAAATTTGGAGATGGGGCATTTGAGGATATCTTTACAACGAATGTTGACTTTTCTTCTAAATATGATCATTACATAAGGTATGATTGAATATATAGCTTAATTATAAAAAAAGAAATTATTGTAGCTCTCAATCAAGTACCGTGTCCCTAGTTTATGTAAATGGATTATGTACACTGGAAGGTGGATGAAATGCATAAATTCAGCATAACAATGTTTTCAAAGCCTAACATAGGTTTTGTTCTTTCAATGATCTTCTTATTAACTCATCGACTGCTTTGGTACCATTATTGTGCATTCTTGACTCCTGTCTTGTTTCAGGTTGAACTTAAAGGGAAGCAAGGAGGTCTATTCTTCTGGATTTTGTTTGGATGATGAATGTTGGAGATTGTACGAGAAACAGGTGCATGATCTTCTGAGTCAAGGTTTGGGAGATAGGACAAAGTCTGTTCGTGTAATTTGGAGAAACAGTTCTTCAGGGTGGATCAGCTTGATTTGTCTTTGCTTCATGGTGGCAAAGGTATTATAACTAGTATCAACTACTTTTTCATGTCAATTTCCATTTTTCCGTCTCTTACGAATTTCGAGTCATCTCAGATCCAGTATCATTCTTTCCAAATTTGCTTGGGACATTTGAGGTTCTAGAAAGGCGCCTGCGCTCTATTGAAGATGTTCCGTTGAAGATATCTCACGTACAACCTTTAGACACAGGTACTGTCTGAATTGTCAGGTGGTTAGATGAGATTAGTACTCCTATCGGATGCTACTTTCTTGGTATGCCCTGGGCACAGTTGCAAATCAGGTTGCAACTTCTGTGAAATGTGACTGAATTTCATTGGTTGCTTTTCGTAGATTTCTGTGTTTCTTTCACTCGACTCCAGGGAAGCTTGATGATTGCTCATCTACCAATCATGAAGAATCTGGTGACTATTCTATTCCAAGTTATTTATTTTGACAGAGTTGCTGAATTTCAAGATAGCTAAATGAAGTAGTCTTGAAATAGACTTCTGCTTGATTCGCCACGAGGTTCAGTGGCACATTTTAAGGACTCTATCCTTTCAATGCCTGCAGAAATTTTCATAGTGGAAGGTGATTCAGCTGGTGGAAGTGCTGAGCAGGGTCGGGCTAGGCGCTTTCAGGTAATTGGATCCATTCTTAGTTTAATCGATGAGCGTGTGAATGGCGGTGAAGCAATGTTGTGGTCTGCTTTGTTTAATTGGGGATTGGGCATTTCTGATTCATGTCCCTTCATGTTCTGAAAAATGACGTGTGCATTACTCATTAGGGTGCTAAATTATCTTTAAATCATACCGTCGAGCACAGTTAACGGGATTTTTTGTAAACTTCTTGTACAGAGGGCATTATTTGATGAAGGTTGCATTTATGTTGGTGTGCCTCTGCTTTACAAGGTACACTCTCTTTGGAAATTCACAAAGTGAATTAATTTGTCTCGATTGAGGATTGACTGAGAAGTGAGAACCATGAACCTGTCGATGTATTTGGATGTTGCAGATTCTTCTACATTGCCCTATGGCTGGAGTCGCTATGCACAATTCAGCTTGGCTGTGGTGAATCAAATTCACAACAAGTACTCAATCAGAAAAGGTACGTTTCTGGTTCTGATAGACAGTGCCTTGGTTTTTTGCTTTATATGGTTTTTGCTTTAATAACCAACCATATGCATATCAATCTCAGGCACCTCGAAGAGAAGATGAAGAAGACAACAAAGTTAAAATCAAAGGGGTCTTGCAAAAAATGCACGAGGTATGTCCTTGAATAACTAAGAACTCATTTCCAACTCTCTATGTTCGTCAAACCACAAAAAAAAACCCTCAAAGGCTGCAATTGTTGTAAATCAACGAAGCTAAAAGATTCTGTCCCATCAATTTCAATGAACAAATAACAAAAACTGAGTGCTTTTCAACTCCTTGCTCTGGATGTTGTTCAACTTCTTGCCCTGTCTGTGTTGTTCAACTTCTTGCCATGTCCCCTCTTCTGAAACATAAAAAACAAGATAAAAGAACATTGAAACTGTCAATTTTTTAGCAAAGGTTCTCACATAATATATACATTAGGATGCATTAGATTATTTTCACTAAAAAAACCTGTTGGGTCCTCTCAGATTGGCGTTCAGAACATTGAGCAGAAGGCTCCACACTAGGTTCTGTATGCTTATTGGATTTCCCTTGCTGGTGATGTGTCATAGTACTACTCCTAGTACGTGGCCCAGTCTGTTACAAGAGTAGGAATTAAACTCTTAAGTTGATAGCTACTTGTACCAAATAGAATAAAATTTAGAAAGAAAGTGTTGTATAACCTTATGTCGCTTCGGTATGTTTTCCGTAGGCTCTACATCAGCATCGTGGTTGCTAGTTCGTTGATTCTGATATAACCATTATGAAAACACTTAGTTTTTAAGAACTATTAATTCTGATAAAAACTCAAATATGTTTTACCAATTACCTTTTGGGGCCGACCACTTTGGTCATCGTCATCATCTCCATCATCACCTCCCCCATCACCTCCATCATTGTCCGCAAAATCCAGATCATCGTCGTCATCCTCTTCATCAGACTAAGATTCTCTAGCTGGCGGCACGTAGCCTTCGGGTTCAGGACAAGTCTTAATATAATGACTATCCCTTCTACCGCATCTCCCACACTTCCTCTTCTTTTTCTTCTGTTGTTTTTTTGCCTTTCCTTTTCTACATCCCTTGAACAACACTTTTTTGGGATTGAGGACTCTTTCGAACTCCTTAGGTATTACCATCGATTCCCTTTCAGCCGGAGTTGTTCTCATCATTTCCAACTTGTCCCTCACTGCTGTCAACCCCCCTCGAGCAACCTGGAAAGATAGAGGAGTCTCTGCCCCCAATAGGAAAATATGTGTAGCCAAGAACTGGAGTGACCCATATCTGGTGTTGAAAGAATGATCATCCCCCAACTTAGGTGGCGGTGGCATACTGTCTATTGACTTAGGGTTCTTTGAGCAACGTTTAAGTACCAGTTTCTCAGGAAGACTTTTCACCCGTTCTTCTTTCAAAACACAGAGCATATGAGTGCAGGGAATTCCAACACTGTTAAATTTTTTACAGCTGCACTCCATATCCTTTGTTTCAAGGTTGTATTTTACCTCCACAACCTTCTGTTTGTTGAACATACTTAAACTGTAGGTGTGTATGTTTCCATCCTCAGATTGAGTGTTCTTTATGCACCCAATAACCTGCTCTAGTTCACTTCTGAATTTAAGAAATGCAGCTTTCGAGAACAACTTAACTGCACTTTCCTCAAGGGGTCTAAGCATGGTGCTCTTTAGCGGGGTTAAACCATAATTAGATTTAAAATCTAATTTGATCTCTGTTTCCCTCAAATCCCTACACCAACGATCATACTGAATGAAAAAGTCAAGCAAACAGTGTCTCTCCTCCAAATATCTTCCAACAAATGAATTTATACCTTCATTTCTTGATGTGGTTGTCAGCCCGGCAAAGTAGTGGGAGCGCAAGTATGTGTCCGCCCATTCTCCGCGTCTCCCAAATAAATTTGTAGTCACCCATTGGTTGTTCTGTAGACCACATTTTTCCACTAATTCCTTCCATTTCTCTTCAAATTCTTCTTCCTCATAATCAGCAGTTACAAATTTGCTCCATTGGGGTTCGAAGTCTGGGCTATTCTTCACCTTGCCCTTGATATTCTTTGAAAGATGCCACGCACAAAGCCGGTGTGTTGCATCTGGAAACACAGTAGCAATGGCATTCCTCATTGCTTTATCCCCATCTGTTACAACTGTATGCAAGTCCTTTCCACCCAACATTTCCTTCAATATCTCCAAAGCCCACTTGTAGCTCCCTTCAGTCTCATTAGCTAACAGTGCACTCCCAAATAAGCAACTCGTGAAATGATGGTTGATACCTGAAATAGCAAGTGCTTCTCAACTTTTTTACGGATTAGAAAATTGAATATACGAACCAAAATTAGCACTAAGGTGTGTACCTGTGAAAATAACAAGAGGCATATTGTAAATATTTTTTTTGTATGTCGTGTCAAATGCGAGCAACTCTCCAAAGCACGAGAGGTCAGCTATGCTCATACTGTCTGCCCAGAATAAACTGTGGAGCCTATTTTCCTCGTCAGTAGTGTACCGGACGATGAAGTGCGTGTCCGTACTTTTCTTCGATTCTAGATAGGCCAGTGCGGCTGCCGCATCACTAGGACATAGCCTTTCATTGCGATCTCGAGTGCTGAAATTCATCCCATCTTTTACTGTGTACCCAACTTTGTCATGTCCTCCAGCATTATGCACAGCAAGCTTTATGATTTGAGAAGGTTTCATACCTGCATTCTTCTTAAATCTAAAGTCTGCCTTGTCAGCCTCTGTTAACCCTCGTTGTGATCTTAGGTGATGAGTACAATGCCGATTAATTGGCATATGATTGTGATCTTCTTTAAATATATCCACTATCCATTTTGAATCATTCTTGTTAAATGCCACACGCATTTTTGCTTGACAACCAAATCTGGTCTCCATGGGGGAGTCTCTCTTCTTCTCCCCTTTGTTGGGGGCTCTATGTCCCTCACAAGAACAAACGAAAGCTCCATTAGTAACCTCTCCCTTGCTGTTCCGAACTTTCTTTGAGCGCCTAACAGAGAATCCCCAAGCCCTTGCATAATCATTGTAGAAGTTGTAAGCTTCTTCAAAGTCATTAAATATCTGGCCGATTTTAGGAGGATCTAAAATCACATCTTCCATCCCAGTCGTTTCTCCATTCAGAATGCCAATGTCGGTTTCTCCTGTTTCCTCTAAAATCTCAAGGTCATCTTCGATGGGACTGTTACGAGGATGTTCTTCTTCTTCCATCGATAACCTTCTTTGGTTTAGGGTCTCGGCAGGGTGGGATAATGACTTTAGGTGGTTGTAGAGGGTTGGAGGCGGCTGAACGTGTATGTACGTTCTCAGATTATGCCCAACCTGCTGTAGGAAACCAATTTTTACCCCTCTGTTGTTTAGGGTCTCGGCAGGGTGGGATAATGACTTTAGGTGGTTGTAGAGGGTTGGAGGCGGCTGAACGTGTATGTACGTTCTCAGATTATGCCCAACCTGCTGTAGGAAACCTATTTTTACCCCTCTGTTGTTTTGTCTATGTTAAGATTCATTTATTTTTTTTATTTATTTGTCTCTCTCCTCACCGATCTGCTTCCTCTCAAAACCGGAAAATCTTCATCCTTCTGTGTTCTGTACAGAGGAAAAAACATGTAAATTGAATTCGATTAATAAACAAATAGATGATGATAAAAGAATTCTCTAAGTTTAATTAATGATAAAAGATTTTCCTGTATAGCTTTAATAGAATTTTCTAAGTTGACTTAATAAGGTAGATAATTATAACACTTACCATAAAGAGAAAAACACTCTACATCCCCCTTTATTAAGACGTGTGAAACCCCTTTTTCAGGAATACCCAGTTCTGTTCTGTACCGTTCTGAGAAGCTGGAACAGAAGAGGACCATGGAAAAGCAAGGGTAAGTAAATTATATACACAAGGAAGAAAGCCACCATCGTAATGTCTATCTTTCTTCTAAATTCCTCTTTTGTTATGATTTCTTTTTTATCTCAGGGACAAGAACAAGATGAAGCATGTTGTGGACAGCGGGGTAATGACAAGATCAAAGGCGCGGTCGTCCGATTTAATGGTATGTCAGTTTACATGTTTTCATATCTCTATCGTTGGCAGCTTATTTTTCGTTAAAAACTAAAGAACGACGATTGTTGTTGTACTATGAACGTAGGAGCTGGAGAAGGATGTATCTCCGGTAAAGAAAGCTAGAACTGAAGACGGTGCGATCCCTCCATTGACGCCGGGATCAAATATGATTGTTCTTGATGGTCAATCGAGGGGAGATGGCAATGCTTTAGTCTGGAAAAGTCGTACCAGATTATCTACCCTGCAATTCACCGATAAGGTATTTCTACCCTTCTCTCGTATTTTCTGCTTCGGTTCTCTTTTCCGGCACTTGTTTCTTTGTGTTTTGCTTCCCAATCGATAGTGGCGAAGTTATCTGTGTAAACTTTCTCTTATTTGGATTCAACACCTGCACCAAGCTTCTTCGTCTCTTTCGGCAAGAACAGCAGAACTAATTTTTTTACCTAGAGTTTTTGTTTGATCGGAATGACCAGGAAGGATTTCTTCTTTTGGTGTTTGAGCAGCCGATAGCTTAGCCTTGGAAGAATTGGGCCGAGACCCAAAGCTTAGCCTTGGAAGAATTGGGCCGAGACCCAAAGTTATTTTATATTTTTTACGGGTCTGTTGGTTGAATTTGATTCACCATGTTTTGTGCTATAGTTGCTTGAGAGAGATTCAGGGCCTGGTATTAGTGTGTTTCTTCACTACTGAAGTGATTTAAATGGCAGTATGTCTCAGTAGCCAACCTTGAACAAGTTGCGCTCTTTATGTGACGATTACGAATGACGATTACATTAAAATTAGGGCGATAATTAGCAATCCGCTCTAATCCACCCCACTAATATTTTTCTGCCTTAAAACGGAATCAGTGGTTATATTTTCATCGAACCCGCTAATATTCTTTCATCTTCCATTGCAGGCAGAAACTAAGTTTAGGCTGCCTCACGCTGTCAACTACAGTGAGGAGGAAATCAAACTTGCTCACTACATCTTTGCAGCTGACCTTCCGCTAAAAGAGGTCCTAGTCGATACCATGATGAAATCCTATACGCGAAAGGCGCTATGGTCCCTCTGCCCTAACTCCAATGTTGATGCTGATGTAAGTTTTAATCCTGGCCTACTGTTACTAATCAGGATGTTGAACTGGCATAATACCAATCTCCTAAAATTTGTATACCCTGGTTGGTTGGTGTGTTAGGTAATTACAGCAATGACTTGCCACTTGACCATGGACGAGATTACGAGAGATGCTGGCCGTGGGAGAAGAGTATGTTTTCTGCCTTCTGAACTGCAGGTACATATTGATTTACCTTGTACATGTATTTTAGGTGAAATATACTGTTTGTCCTATGGTATATAATAAACGTGTAATTCTGCTAATTTAATCAAATCATGATTAGGAAATGGTACTTAACTATGGCATGACACCGAAAAAGGCTTTAGAGTGTTACGGTACAAAGTTTCTCACAACAGCTCACACCTGCAGAAAGGTTTTCTTCTCCAATCAACCTATTTAACTTTTTCATATATGAAATGTCAAATATGGTACTGATGTTAGTATTTCTTGTCGTAATGTAGTTGTGTCTGCCAATGAAGGATATCATGTATGGTGATGAAATTCATTGGTATTTAGTAGTCATCTTGATGGATGACAAGCAAGTTCATATCTTGGATTCATATCCTTCTAAAGAGCGCCAAACACCTCGCAAAGATGCAGTACAAACTATGGTATGGTCAGAATTTGTGTGTGGAATATGATTATATTTGTGAACTGGATTTTTGTTCTCTTCTATTTGTAATAAAGTTACTCCTTATGTAGATTGGATTTCTCGATGCCTTGTTCGAGGATCTTTATTTACAAGTGGAACAAATGTGCGATCCCCCAGTGATGAAGGAGTTCTCTTTGACAATTCCTTCAGTTCCTGAACAACGTCACGAGTAAGAATCATTCCTCATGCATAAATTCGAAAACATACTCACAACTGATCATATGCTTCATCTAAATTTATGTAGGTATGACAGTGGCGTTTGGGTGTGCGTATGGATGATGGGTGCAACTTGGGATGAAGATTATTTTATATGGGTAAGCAACAATTCACTTGCTTGAACTTGTAGTTAAACAACCTAGTGAATTTGCTATTGAGATCCATTGTCTTTGTGAAATATTTTCAGCCATGTGGAGATATGAGGAGAATGCAACTAGCTTTGTATCTAGTTAAACAACCTGCAAATTATATAAGACATGTGGTCATCAAGGAAGCAAATAGGAATGCACAGAGGTTTGAACTCGAGATTCGTACGTACAAGGAAGAAAATCGAAAGAGGCTGAACAAGAACTAGAGCTATATGGAGATTGTGCGTCCATGATTTCTTAATTTAAGCTTGCTTTTTTGATTCAAGGACTTGTTCGTTATATGTTTCACTACATTTCATCAGATTAACGGTTGCATTTCTGTTGGGTATTTTGGGTGAACAAATTTCAGTTTACATTATCATGGGATTCGGTTCTTTTCGTTCAATGTTGAACTTGGTTATTTGTTGAACTAGCTAGTTTATGGTTGTTTGTTGAACTAGTTAAATCTAAAGTACTACTACAAGCAGACTGCACGTTATTGTTTCCCAAGCAGATCAGTTCTAAGGAATGTTTTATTTTGAACACCAACTGTTCTATGGATTGGTTGTGGATTTCTTTCCAATGTAGCGGTTGTGCAGTCCACGGTCTCGCCTTCTTGCTCAGATGTAGTGCCTGGGCCAGACTGCTGAATACACTGAAACTGAAATAATAATCCCAGTCCATCAAATTCACAAACAAACCATGTGGCGACTAACGATTATCAATCCACTCAAAAAGGTTTGAAAGAGAAAGGATATGAACCTGTTCCACGTTAACAGCTTAAAGATTGATGCATTACTTAAGTTTGTGATAATATGTTCAGAATCCTCTACTTAAACCGTATTACCCCCAATTTCCCTAGTTTTCATTATGAATTTGCCTCTTCCCCAACACCCTCCACGAGAACCCCAAAGTAAAAGAGGAAGAAAATAAATCTCCACCTTAATTGCAATTATACAGGTACGAAATAATCAACACCACTCCAAGCTTGGAAATTTTCTTATTACAACTAAGTGACAAAACAAATTGAGCCAGAGAGTGCTGCTCAATGGAATTATCACAAGCTCAAGGATTTACAGATTCAATGTTATAAATCCATACCAGACCATGTATGGACACCAGTCACATCCAAGCTCCCTAGGCCTCAGTCTTCCAGTCACATCCAAGCTCGATCAAATCTTTTCACCAGCCCTTCCACTTTTGCAGAACTCGTCAAAATTAGACAACAAGTTCAACTGATTCTCATAAGCATCAACTCAGATAGCCTTTCGGCGGCGGCCTTCAAGATGACAGTCACTCAGTGATTGCCAATTTAACTTTCCCATGAGCATTTTTTGATTACCCTTCCTCATGTCTGACCTCCGCACCGCCATCTCCATCGATTTCGTCTGCAGGTGTTTCCAGTATAGAGTTTTTCGTCGATCAGCCCTTACCCCCATCTCTCGAGTATGCGATTTTCACTATGCAATAGATAGCGATGGCGCCCGAAAAAATCCAGAGCTCGGCTATTGAAGTCAATTTGGTACGAGAATTGATTCGATGGTGAAAAGAGGATAGGGTTCGTCCGTGAGAATAATCCAGAGCTCGGCTATTGAAGTCAATTTGGTAGGAGAATTGATTCGATGGTGAAAAGAGGATAGGGTTCGTCCGTGAGAATGAAGGGGATATGGGAAAGGGGTGTTTTGGAGTTGTACGACATGGTGGTTCTGACTTCTGTGTTTACATCTATCAACTAATCAATAGTTTGAATGTAACTTGATGGAAACACAATCACACAAAAATTGGGTGATCGGTTAATTAGATAGAAGAATATTAGGCATGATAATATGGAAAGATACGAAAATTTTGTATAGGGACTAAAGAGCACGTATTAAAAAGTAATAGAACCAATCAATTATTATAGAATCATAATTAATAAATAATTTAATTAGAATTAATAACAGACGTTAGATTAAATCAACGGTGTAGAGAACCTGGAGCATGCTATGCGTCTGGAGCGTACGAGTCTGAACCATATATATATATATATGCTTTCAAAGCATATAAGAATTATTTTAACTAGTCATGCCCTCCATATAAAAATTAAAGATTCATATTTGAAAGGCTAAAATTTTGAAAAACCAAAAAGTTAAAAACACCAATTTGTTTTCTTCTTAATTTTCACAAAAACAAAATCCTAAAATTTCGCTCCTTTCTCCTTCCATAAATTAGAAACACTATATTTTCCCTCTTCTTTCTCTTTCATAAAATTGAAAGAGCCAAATTTCCCTACTCTTTCTCTTACATAAAATTGAAGAACTAAATTTCCCTCTTTCTTCTTTTCTTACACAAGTTGAAAACTCAAAATTTTTCTCCTTATTTCTCTTTCATAATCAAAAGAACCAAACTGCCACTTCTTTCTCTTCTCACAAATCAAAACCACCAAAATCCTCCCTTGCTTCTTTTGTCAAAAATTCAAATAACCAAATTTCCCTCTTCTTTCTCTTCCCAAAAAGTTTAATACACCAAAATTTTCCTCTTCTTTTAAAAGCATCAAATTACCAAATACATTACTTTACTTAATTTATATGTAATTGATAATTTTATTGATTTGTTAAATTAAACAAAATTTTAATTTATATATTATATTCATATTGTCCATGATCTCAATTATTAATATTGACACTGTGTTGATTTTATATTTATTTTTTTAATTTTGTTAAAGAACTTAGTTTTCAAGTGACGTTTATGTTTCAATTTTTTGAATTTCTTAAAATACATATTACCATGTGAGTTTCATATATTTGTAAATCACCTATACCGAATGAAAAATAAATTTTACCTAAGTTTAGAATGAAAACCTTTATTTTGAAAAACTATGTATTGTATAATATAATAATTATTCAAGTGGATTAGATGAAGTTCGGGTTGAGTCGGTCGGGTTACGGGTTAGTCAGGTTCGGATCATTCTTGGTTCGGGTTAATCGGGTTGTGGGTCAATCGGATTCGGGTTAATCGGGTTGCGGGTCAGTGGGGTTGCGGGTCAATCGGGTTAAGGGTCGGGCGGGTTGCGGGTTGTTCACTTTTAATCAATTCGAGTTGCGAGTCTAGTTAATCAGGCAGTTTAATCGGGTATATAAAGAATTCACATAAAATGTTAATTTAAAACCAACCACCACTCCACCAGTATAGGGCACAAAGGAACATCAATAGAAAGACGTATATGAAATGAAAGCTATACCACTTGTTCAGTGATAAATGGGCTGTCATCTCTAAAACAAAACCTGCGGATCATTTTAATCAATCTCTTATGCAACAGGAATCCACTTAACTTTATAGTCAATCACTGTACGTTGGGTCGAAGTAAGACATGTTATTTTGGTGTAATGTTATATGTTACTCATATATTATATGAGATTTGATATAATTGATAAATATGTGAATAATATAATAACTTTTTTTAAATATCCGGGTTAAATCAAACTAACGTCGTCAGACAATTAACCCTCAATCCACTGTCTCGACCAGACCAACGGGTAAACCGGATTGACAACCCTCTAGTTCTTCTATCTTTTTTCTGATTGTTGTTTCTCCCAATTTGGTTGACGATGAAAGACCAAATACAAAAAAATAGGGACATGCATCAGCCCGAATCTAGGCTAAGTGGGTAGGGTAAAACTCGAACCTGAATGATTTTTAGTGAGTACGGGAAAAATCTGAATCTGAATATTGCTGGTAATGGGTGGGCATTGTTTTCTCACTATCCAACTCGAATCCGCCGGATTATATATATTCATATGTATTTTATCTAAAAATAATCATTATCTTTCTCAACATATTTTATATTTACCAAACCAATATAACATCTACCTGAAATTATTTCGATTGAGATTAACTTTTTTTGTTCTAGGGAATTATTGTCTTACTTTTCCACTTATATAATGCGAATATGTGTGAATATTAGCATGTTGCTTGGAGTTATAAAAAGTACTTATTACCCATGGATAACGTTTGATACTCGAAACCACAACGGATATGGACATGATTTTAATTTTCTACTCGATTCTTATATGGGTATAGATACGAGTAAGACCCAGACTATTTTAGGTAGGGTACTGAATATGCACTATCCACCCCTGACCCGACCCGTTGCCTTCCTAAAAAATGTCGGCGAAGAAGAGGAGTAATTGCCATTAGGAAATAAGGTGAGAGGCAAAGGTTTCATTAGGTTCTTGCTCGGGGAGCAGGACGAGCGATTTGTCCATTACATCACCACATGTTGATGAATAGATGGTAGGTGAGGGATGAAAATGACGGTAAGTCACTTTAGATGTCCTAGTGGGACAGAAGAGCAGTCAGCAAAACTCACCTTCAAAATAAAAATAAAAAAACAAATTGCGCAAAAGTGTCAAACCCTCTGTCCTCCACAGCATTAGCCATGCGTTCATACAACACTAACAGGTCACCAAACTTAGATGACATTAGTACAGGTTAGAGAACCTCTTGTGCAATAGTGACAACTTATATCTTTAATTATGCTTGAATCAGACTTCACATGTTGCTCCAACCC